CAAAACCAGCTCAGGCTGAGAGTTCCCTCCATGATTGCTTGTCCAAAGCGCGCATTCTGAGCCCACTCAGATCAGTCATGGTCTTCAGTGGCATGTCTCTGGCAGCTGTGCTTGCCTTGACTGCCGTGGCCAGGAAAAGGTACCATGCAAATCCCTTACGACTTCACGTCTTCATCAGATTTCAGAAACATATTAACAGTTGCAGCCAGCTCCCTAATAACTAATATAAACAACCAACTTTGAAGGAAAAGCCACAGCGTCCATGGAAGTAGGGAGAAGTCGGCACCGAGAAGTCTTGGCGATATCCTCACGAAGAGGGATGACTAAAAAGGAAAATAAGCAACCATGTACATGTATGATGTGACCAGCCACGACCCACATCCACAGTTCCGCACAGTCAGAGGCGCGACGTGACGTCAGTCATCTTGGCGGTGCACACTGCACAGCGGCATATTACTACAATGACGTAACGTCGTTGTAGTAATTGTAGTAATATGCCGCTGTTATACAGTAGTAATATGATTGTACATGTAGATGTAGCCTATCCTCTCCACTGGAGATGGGGCGTCAAAGGTCAGAAGGTTCATGTACACTACTCTCTTACACTCTGGATCCGACAACGTCAGGACATCACTACATGTACTCTCTTACACTCTGGATCCGTCGACAACGTCAGGACATCACTACAATGTACTCTGGATCCGACAACGTTACGTCAGGACATCACCACATGTACTCTGGAGTCTGGACCCGACAACGTTACGTCAGGACATCACTACATGTACTCTCTTACACTCTGGATCCGACAACGTTACGTCAGGACATCACTACGTCATCAGTACATGTACATGTACTGCCAAGAGTACAGTCATGTACATACCGGTAACCCGGTTGTGTACTCTTGAGTCTTGGCACTTGGCAGTACACTGTACTACAACAGTGCTAGTCTACAGTGCTGGCAACTGAAATCCCCCCCCTAGCGATGCGCTAGCCGCGTTAGCGATTCGTACGAGACGCTAGGGGGTCGGATTTCAGTTGCCAGCACAGTAGTTTGAAGTACATTGAAACCTCGAACACTGATAAGACAAAGAAGAACACTGATAAGACAAAGAAGAACACTGATAAGACAAAGAAGAACACTGATAAGACAAAGAAGAACACTGATAAGACAAACGTTCGCTTTAGAAGAACTAGTGTCCATACATTGTAGGCAATTTGTAGCTCTATTGGATAAATCACTGTGTATGCACTGGGTATACATATACGGATAAGAAGAACTCCCGTTAAAGGGGAAGTGCATCGATTTTTCAAGTAGGGCTCAGATGAAAGACAATTGGATGTCGGTTCCGATGGTATATCTCTCGCTTGCGTACGGCAAGGGAAACTTGCCATATCGCCGATTTCCTGATCCCGTTTCCATGGCGACTACAGGTGATGACGCACATTCTGCTTAGCTCCGTGAGAGAGAAGGTCGATCAGTGAAGAATGGTGTCATTTTCAGTTGTCTTGTTGTATTCACGAAGTGAAAGAAGTACTGTGTTTAAGGCTGTTAGTGCCGTGAACTGTTTATTAGTAGTCCTCTCCGTTGTGTACTGGGACGTGACACCGACAGAGGAAAGCTGGAGTGCGGAGACGTTAGCTGGCAAGCGAAAATCGTGACGAACCAAATGCTGAAATCTTGGTTGGGACAAATCAAACGTTCAGCATTTACCTCAACCAAGGACCATGCCGTTTGCTCTTTCCACTTCCTGAAGGTGGATGCGCTGCCTGCTGGAGACTCTCCTATCTCTCGTAACATCTTCTGAAGCCAGGTGAGACGACGAGTAGCGGAGATTAGCGAACGAAATAATGTCGTATGTTTTGAAATTTTTGCTGAACATTTCTCAGGAGAGATGGCGAATACCAAGCATCTTCTCCAAGTCTAGAGAAACCATTTCGTAGGCTACATTCCGCCTAGGGAAATGCAGGAGATGGCCTGGCTGGGGAGGACACACTTGGAGGAGAACGAAGTAAGTGATCTTGTTTGTTGTTCTTTGGTATTGCAATCTTATGTTTGACGAACATACGGCATGGTGCATAGTTGGTCGTTGAGTGCCTGCATGTGCATGTATAAGTGTGTGCTGATGAACACTTCCTATGCAAGAATCTGACACTCATGCTCTCTTTATTTCTTGCAGTATGTGCGCACGTGTGTGTGTGTGTGTGTGTGTGTGTGTGTGTGTGTGTGTGTGTGAGAGAGAGAGAGAGAGAGAGAGAGAGAGAGAGAGAGAGAGAGAGAGAGAGAGAGTGTGTGCAGGAGCAGCGTGGAGCATGCCAGTGTGATCGCTGTGGCCGTTGCTTTCTTAGCTGTGGCGTTCTTGCTCGTCACAAGTGTGTGGCTCAGCCCCCAACGACAGTGGGGCCGTGTTGTGGTGAATACTGTGTGTCCTGCGACCGCTGCTTCCGTTCGGTCCAGGGCAGGAATAGACACCGCTGCTGAAGCTCTCCCCGGCCGTACGTCAGTCTCGTGGCAGATGACCCGAACTCTCATTTTGTGTGTGTGTGTGTGGTGTATGTTTATGTATGTGTGTGTGTTGCTCCCTACGTAAACAAACTCTTGTTTTTGTGTCCCGGGCGCCATGGGGCGGCGTTCTCCCATTCTCTCTCCACTGCCCCTCCGGGCCCACGTGGCAGTGACTCAACAGGGCAAGTGTGTGTATGGTGCATTTTGTGTGCTGGCATGTCTGTATAAATATGTTGGACAGAATTTGTTCACCCACACCGTTCATGGAAAACCATGCTAGGTGTTGCTGGAACGTATGGAGTCTGCGAGCACTTACAATAACTTACGTCATGTCACAACAAAGAACGGTGCAGTGTTTGACCCTCATGTAAACATGATGGTGATGGTACCTCATGTAAGCTACCCATGAAGCTAGAAAGAACATCAGGTCAACAGAATTGTACCAGAGGAAAGCATCTATTGCCCGAACTTCTTCATTTGAAATGAACAATACCCTTCCCCATAGAGACAACATGCAGATGATGTGTATGGACAAATAATATATAAATAGGCCATTCACTGAGGGCATGGAATGATCTCTACGTGTAGATTGGATAGACACATGCACGTCTGCAAGGAAAGCATTTGTTCATGGGTTAGTTCATGGGCTGATTGAGTTCACATGGACTAAGTTCATACATGCCATCTCTCCTGAGATATGTTCAGCAAAAATTTCAAAACATACGACATTATTTCGTTCGCTAATCTCCGCTGCTCGTCGTCTCACCTGGCTTCAGAAGATGTTACGAGAGATAGGAGAGTCTCCAGCAGGCAGCGCATCCACCTTCAGGAAGTGGAAAGAGCAAACGGCATGGTCCTTGGTTGAGGTAAATGCTGAACGTTTGATTTGTCCCAACCAAGATTTCAGCACTTGGTTCGTCACGATTTTCGCTTGCCAGCTAACGTCTCCGCACTCCAGCTTTCCTCTGTCGGTGTCACGTCCCAGTACACAACGGAGAGGACTACTGATAAACAGTTCACGGCACTAACAGCCTTGAACACAGTACTTCTTTCACTTCATGACATGATACAAGAAGACAACTGAAAATGACACAATTCTTCACTGATCGACCTTCTCTCTCACGGAGCTAAGCAGAATGTGCGTCATCACCTGTAGTCGCCATGGAAACGGGATCAGGAAATCGGCGATATGGCAAGTTTCCCTTGCCGTACGCAAGCCAGAGATATACCATCGGAACCGATATCCAATTGTCTTTCATCTGAGCCCTACTTGAAAAATCGATGCACTTCCCCTTTAATACGAACAAATACCATCGGTCCCTAGGCCCTTGGACCAGGCTTGGTGTTCGTCCTAAAGAGGTTTGACTGTACTGGTCTACATGTAGTAAGTCTACGTGCACAGGATCTAGGACTAGGACTTAGGATTAGGAAGCGGAAATCGACGAAATAGAGTTTTTTTCCCCAGTCTAACCCACGTGCGCATGGCCGCAGCATGCATGGGGGTTATGACAATGTACATGTGCAGCTGTAAGTGTAAAGACAAAGCTTCATAAAGTTAGTTTATTGCTGAACATTGTGAACGCACTAATTATTATTGTGAAACAAATTGTACCATTCGAGGTACTAATAAGCCATTGGTTTAAAGTACCGATACGACTAGAGCATTGACGTCATGACGCAGCTAAGCACAGACGCAGACCACCACATGCACACCACACTCCACAACATTTTCCCGGGGACATCATTGATTTATTATCATTATCAAAATTACATGTACTGTACATCATCTGTCGCAGAGATGTACAGACGCAGACTGTGCGTTCTGTCTTCCGTCGAGTCGAGCAGACCCCGTGCAGTGAATCTCCCATTGATCTTAGACGTCTGCGGAGGAAGAGTGATGTCGAGACTGTAGCAGTGTAGTTCAATGTAGGCTTCTTGTGGTATACCGGCAGAGTGTTGTGTAGATCTAGAAGTAGAAGGAAAAAAGCCGTGCCACGAAGATACCAGGCCAGGATTTGCCCGTACTCGTAATCGTAGAGGGCTCGAGATCGAGAGTCTGATGATGGCAGTGATGTGCATGCTAGATGCTGTGTCACGGGACTTGGCCGTGACTTCGAGAAAAACCGGTGCACCCCACCTGATCAGCTGATCACTGACCTAGAGCCTGACAACCATTGTCCAAAGCTGCAGCCAGGGCATCCTGCGATCGTGTATCAAACGACCTGGGTCACAGTGGGTGGAAACTGCGCACCCTCGTGATTATCGCGTGAGTGAAGGCTCAAAGTGTTGCATTGCCGATCAGCGCTGCATATGCGCATGCAGCAGCGCAGTATCACCTAGTCATTCTTTCGAGGCATTGGGTACACGTAACGTCGTTCCTCAGCACTACGCCGACTCAGCGACACAGCTATCGATATCGCCTAAGCGTACCAAAAAAACTGCAAGCTAGCTACCGAGCTCCCTGCACTGACAGCAATATAAACCGAGCCGTCGCCAGGATTTTGCTAGTTCTACTTTGTTGTTGTTCGCCAGATTTCATCTCTCTCGCTTCCGTTCGCTCGTTCGCAAAGATGAAGTGCTTGATCGTTCTGGCGCTGGTCGCCGCCGTATCGGCCAAGTCCGTACTGGAGGAGCTAAAGATCTCCGAGGAGTGGGATACCTTCAAGACCCAGTTCGAGAAGATGTACGGCACCGAAGAAGAGGAGGTCCGCCGCTACACCATCTTCAAGGGCGAGGTAAGCCTGAGCCTGCTAGCCTTGAGAACAGACACCGTCAGCTCATGGCAGAAATCTGAGGCCAATGTGACTGCCTTGCCGTATGGGTGCACGGGGAATTCTACTTTGCGAACAGGTCAAAATGAATAATTCGACTTTTTGGCTATTGTTTTGGTTGCATTCGTTTGTGTTTTTTGGAGTAGAGTTCTAGTGTTCTATTGGTCATCGTCACAGTGTACTAAACTCGAGCGTTCGTTTGGCAAAAACTTCCTGTGGGTTTGTGCATGTTCGAGCTGCTGCATTGGCGCTTGTGCATAATTATTTGCGTGTGTATGTCATTGTGCAACATACATTAGTCTGAAGAGGGCACCTATAATTATCACACTCACTTTCTCATGTGTGTATATGTGTGCCTCTCTCTCTCCCTCTCTGCAGGCCCGCAAGATTGAGAAGATCAACGCCCAGAACCTGACCTTTCAGCTGGGAGTCAACCAGTTTGCCGACATGACCGATGAGGAGTACGCACAGGTGCTTGGCTATCGCCAGGACAAGTCTCTGAGCAGCGCCGAGTCTTTCGTCGGCAACCCCGACGTGAAGCTGCCCTCCGAGGTCGACTGGGTAACCAAGGGATACGTCACACCAATCAAGAACCAGGTACGTGTTTGCAAGACCGATGGTGTCACAGCTAGTGTCGCCGCCGCCACTTTGGTGGTGATAGTGTCGGCTAATCAGTGGGTGCCTTGTGTTCAGAGAAGTACTGGGATGTTCCCATTCCTGCCCCCCCCCCCCCCTGGCTTAGTTCTGTTCTAGCATGCATGGTTGTGTAGTCGGGAATCGTAGCAAGGAGCGTCTCTACCAGTTTGAACGATTAGAACGCTTCTCTAGCCTTGCCGTAGTGGAGGTGAGATAGTGTTTGCTTTTGAAAGTCTTTGTTCGCATCGTCGTGTGTGGTAGTGCGGCCACCGCCGCTGATCGGATGCGTATTATTACTGTCAGCTGGCGTGACCAGTCCAGGCTCCTGTCTCCTAGTGACTAGTATGGTGAAATGGCAGTACTAAACGGGAGAGAGAGATAGAGAGAGACGGGACTGGTGTGTAGATGGTTGCAGCATGCGGCTCGTCACGAGACGACTCTGCCATGCATGTACACGTAGCTAGCAGCATGCAGTGTGTAGTGCAGGGTGGTGATGTGGTTTAGAGATAGCCGGCACGCTCGCGTGCGCACGGTCGACCGGATTGCCACATATGGCTGTGAGTGGGTCAGTCTTGATACTTGGCATGCATATGGCGGGAGGACGGTGACTACATGCAGCCACTCGGTGGCATGTGATATGTGCACGATGTAGTGGCATTGGTTGCAGGTAGCCGCTCGGTGGCATGTGATGTGTGCATGATGTAGTGGCATTGGTTGCAGGTAGCCGCTCGGTGGCATGTGATGTGCACGATGTAGTGTGCATGAAGCCGTGATAGTGGCAGTCCATGTAAGGAGGGAATAGGGTATCATGTGATCACTGCCATGCCGCGTCCAGCCGTCCACCATGGCCACTGTACAGTACTGTGTGCATGGCAATCTAGCATGGCCCATGCATGTACTCCCCGTGGTCATGTGATGAGTCACATGACTGACACACCAACATCAGCGGCAGCAGCATTGGAAGTTAGTTGTTGGCATGGGTAGTTCAGTGGTAGGGTTGGGCCTAGCAGTGCATGCTGGGTGACTATGTGTGGCACTGTGGCTAGGTGACAGCCGTCCTCCTGCACGTCTTGTGACCTGCTTGTCTGGTGAGCGGTGATCGGCGCCCGCTGTACGCTAAATAACTGAGTCATGGGCATACAGCGGGTCACATGACAAGGCACTGACATGCCATGTGTCACCCGGGGTATGGACAGCTAATAACTGTGCTCAGGTGACTTGTGTGTGCATGCCAGTCATTCTCATCATCTATGCATACTTCTGCCACCACCACCGCCACTGTTGGTAGACAAGCAGTGGTCCTCCCCGTGCGTCTTGTGACCTGCTTGTCCGGCGAGCAGCAGCGGCGGTACAGCACTCTATTACCGCTCACTCTCTGTCATTCTTACAGTGCTTGGTCGGCTTTAGTTCTACGTGCCGTGAGAGTGAGTTGTGCTAAGCTATAGCTACCCAGCGTGCTCACGCGGGCTAGCAGGGGACAACCTCAGAGATGAGACTAGGAAGTACTGGTTGAAGCGTTGCTGGGCATGTGTGTGTGGTAGAGTAACTACGGCACGAGAATGGCAGTGGCGATGACACAATGCATACCTTTGTTGGCCGCTATAGCTGAGAGTGGCTGCTCTGGGCGAGGCGGCACCAGGTTGTCTGGGTCTCGTTAGCGATGACTAGTAGCTTCCATGTATTCGTGTCTGTGCGAGTGCAGGAGTTCTTTGCTGGGTTATGCACAAGCGTGATTCAATGATGTCGCTACCTCGACCGGGAGTGCTGTGTATTAGCTGACGTTAACTTCTCGTTTGCAGAGTAGGAACATGACGTGCAGTTATGGGGAGTCCTGGTCTGTTCTGAGCTAGGGTACCAGTTGCAGCATTCAACCTGCAGTGGTCAACTTGTACTAGTGTGAACTGCTGATGGCGTGTATTCTGAAGGGCACACTCTAACCAATCTAAATGCCAATAAAGTAGATTACTAGACCAGCTTACTAGACCCTACATTACAGGTTGCCGCTTTCTTTTCGAAACATGCTGATTCACAGTTGAATTGTGCTGAGTCTTTGCCAATGAATGACTGGGCTTTTAGGGCGGGTAGACACCATGGCTTCCAGGTTAGGGTTTGTATAGTATACTGGTGAATCAATGTCAGCGTTCTGTTTGGTGACATGTGTGCTGGCGCCCTGCCTGACAGTTTGTGAGCAGTAATTGCACCGCAGCTTGTCCTGGTTCTCGTGTCGGGGTGTCTGCACTGCGGCAAAGCCTGGGTCCTCGCATCGAATGGATTGTGTGTGAATGTGCTGTGGCAAACCCTGGTACTTGCACTCGGTAGCCCTGTAATCACTTTCTTTGTTCATGTGTCAGGGGATATGAGGTGGTATGTCCCATGTACAATTATTATAGTTACGTTCTCCCAGTGTGACGAGTAAGGAGCTCTGCTCTCCACAATGTGTTTGAGCTGTCATGTGTGACCTGCATTGTATCCGGAGTTAACGATAACGGGCTGTAATGAGTGATGGGTGTCGTGTATTCATGCAACCTGCTCCCATTGCAGCTTAGGACACTATGGTGTACACTAGTTGTGTTCAGACTGCCATGTAGTGATCTACAGGCAATGGGAAAACTGCATACGTGTAGCATTCAGCATGTATGGGTGTGTACCATGATTGCCATCATGCCTGGATGCCGGTGTCCCTGGAGGCTCTAGTAAGCGTGCGGGCAATGTGTATGCTGCAGGCTCTCAACACTTGTGGCGGCCATACTGGCGCTTCCAGGTTCGGATACTTAAGGTCGTGTGTTCCGTGTACGATCTGTATCCAGCGGCATGTGAATATGTGTGGTATTTCTTGTTTGTGTGTTGTGTGCTCATACGCAGGGTGCCTGCGGCTCCTGCTGGGCGTTCAGCACCACCGGCTCCACCGAAGGCCAGCACTTCAAGAAGACCGGCAACCTTGTCTCGCTGTCTGAGCAGAACCTGGTCGACTGCAGCCAGAAGGAGGGTGACCATGGCTGCCATGGCGGTCTGATGGACTTTGGCTTCAAGTACATCATCGAGAACCACGGCATTGACACCGAGGAGAGCTACCCGTACACGGCCAAGGACGGTACGTGCCGCTTCAAGGAGTCCCACGTCGGTGCCACCATCACCAGCTACAAGGATGTGCTGCCGCGCAAGTCCGAGAGCTCCCTGCAGGAGGCTGTTGCCACGGTGAGTACTTTTCTTACACACAAAAGAATACTCTCTGCATGGTGGCCAATATTAGAAGCTACGTCCTAGGAGTACATATCCGGCAGATAGACTGGGTAGGACCTGTTAAGCTAGGCCGACCTGCGAGTCTCGGCGTCGTGGCTCGCCAGATTCACCTTCGGGTGGACGTGGATGCAGATTTGTTTTACTGCTTGCTCCACTGCAGCTTTCCCGGTCGGTTTAATAAGTCTTTTTGTCGTTTTAAGAAATCTGATGATGCAAAAATAGCGGTGTGGATGTTTTGAAAGTGCTACTGTCTGTTTTGGATGCGAACTATTTCCCAGCAGTTGATTGCATTCGCCATTGTATAGAAATGTATAACTGTAATACTCTTTACTCTCTGTGTGTTCTCTTCTGTTCCTGCCGGCTGTCGTATCGCAGATTGGCCCAGTGTCGGTTGCCATTGACGCCTCATCGACGTATTTCCGCTACTACAAGCACGGAGTCCTGATCGACCACAAGTGCAGCAGCACTCGCCTGGATCACGGTGTCCTGGCTGTCGGCTACGGTGTTGAGGAAGAGCAGGACTACTGGCTGGTCAAGAACAGCTGGGGTACCAGCTGGGGCAACAAGGGGTACATCATGATGGCCCGCAACCACGAGAACATGTGCGGAATCTCCACGGCCGCCAGCTACCCGATCGCCTAAGCACGCATCATCGTGACAACGCCATCATAGAAGAAGCACTCGCACACGCCTTTGTCGTGTGATGTTGTAACTTATCTACCATCAGTATAGCTGATTGCCACCGCCACAGCTGCTGCTGCTGCTGCTTGTGTGGCGCAATCTTCCTTCTGTACATTGTTACATACTTTCTCTCTGTCACCATGACAACTTAATAGCACTAGTATTACAGTTTCACATCTGCACCGAATCTCACCTCCTCCGTTGCCGCTCGCACAACTGCACCGTCGCACCCTTAGCTATGTGTCTCACCGCCTCACTGCACTGTTCCTGTGTTTGTCCTTACCTGTGCCGTTGACCCTTTGCCCTCCTCCTTTCAGTAACCCCCCGGCGTTACTCTCTATTCTCATCATGTACTTCTGTTGACGACGTTATGAATAAAATATTTATATGACTCCCGTCCCAAATCCGACAACCGGCATATAAATTTGTAGTTAGTGTGCGCAGCAGTAGCAGCAGTTGTGCCCATTGATTCTCATTCTCCTGTTCTTCTCTTCTGCACTGGCATTGGCAAGGTTTGCTGGCCTCTGTCAACGTCACTGTGCGTGATCATGTATGTCTCTGTGTTCGACAGTTTTGACTTTTCTCCGAGTTTATGTGGGCCAGTTCTGGGACGCTGTTTGCCGCTGTGAGCGTTTTGTTCGTTTTGTTCTCTTTCGTTAAATCGATACTGAACTCTCTGCGTTGTTTTTGTTGCACTTGCTTGTGCGAGCGCGCACCCGGTACGCGTGCGTGTATCAGGTTATTCCGTTCTTGGGGGTGCATTGCTACCAGGGAGTATTATATTTTAATACCATATCTAGATATCTACTACTGCCTGATTGTTGCGGACAAATCTGAGCACGGGGGTATTACACCAATGAGGATGCCGAAATACTACAATAATTATTGATAGAAAGGAAAAGGACATATGGAAACGAGTTAAGAGTAACTCTCCACCACTGTAACTAGATACTATAATACAGTCAGAAAGTGCAACAACTAGGCACAAAACTGGCAGAGTACTGAGACATTCGACGTCCTGACACCTAGCTTCAACACATCTCCGTAGCGCTAACCGACAGCCTTCCAACTTGGAAGGTTCAAGGTTATGGAAAGACCAAAGAGGGGAAGGCAAGCGCAACGAAAACGAGCACAAGCTACAGTCCCAACGGAACAAAGTATGTCGATTGTCACTGGACGATGTCGGTTAGCGCTACGGAGATGTGTTGAAGCTAGGTGTCAGGACGTCGAATGTCTCAGTACTCTGTCAGTTTTGTGCCTAGTTGTTGCACTTTCTGACTGTATTATAGTATCTAGTTACAGTGGTGGAGAGTTACTCTTAACTCGTTTCCATAATGTCCTTTTCCTTTCTACTTTTATTATTGGCTCAATACCCGAGTTTTATAATTATTGATCATAATGATTTCGAAGAAAGTAAAATGAGCGCACACATACCACGAGAACAGTGGAACAATAATTATGACAATTCATCACAATATTATTGATTATCACATGAAGACGACGTTCAAATCATAACATTGTTTGATTCAGTTCACGTGATAATCATCAGAAATCTTCATCCCAATGATAGTTTTGTAACAAGGGAAATTGTGGCCACAAGTTATGCTATGATACAATTTTTCCTTGGCTCACCATCTGAGTTCTTACAAGTTACAATGATAATTGGACAACAAAGGAAAAATATTTATGGTACCATAAAGTATTTAAATAACCGACGAGGAGACAACAGTCGTAAAATAGCAATGAAAAATATCAATTGTGCACTCATAACCATGTATAAACAATTAAAATGAAACAATTCCAGAACGTTTTCGTGTGACCATCATCAGTGGAACGTCGTCACATAGTAAGAATCACTAAAATAACCAGTTATATAGCTAGAGTAATATGAAAAGAAGCGTGAGAATGCAGGACAGCTAGCGGTTATGCATAACGCGTGTAGTGTGAACCTTTGCAGTGTATCTGAGAATGATTCTTACTATGTGACGATGTTCCACTGATGATGGTCACACGAAAACGTTCTGGAATTGTTTCATTTTAATTGTTTATACATGGTTATGAGTGCACAATTGATATTTTTCATTGGTACCATAAAGACTTTTCTCAAGGTTTGGAGACTCCACTGTAGCCAATACTTGAATCCATACATCCTGTACACACACCTTGTACACACTCTCTCTAACGGTCTCTAGGCTACACTGCAATTGATATACATTAGATCAAATTTTCGGGCAAGGCCCATCATCAGGAATAAGCTTATTCCTGATGATGGGCCTTGCCCGAAAATTTGATCTAATGTATATCAATTGCAGTGTAGCCTAGAGACCGTTAGAGAGAGTGTGTACAAGGTGTGTGTACAGGATGTATGGATTGGTACCATAAAGGTGAACATTATTAGATCTTCACTAGTTTGAGGGAAAGACACAAACGGGAAAAGTCTGAAGAAAAAATTGACTGTCACCACCAGGTTATTAGATCTAAAACTAATACAAGAAACACTGATATTCTAAAGCTAGCACTATCGGAGGCGAGATTAAAATGAGCCTGGCAACCATTGGCAAAGCTGCAGCCAGGGCACCCTGCGATCGTGTATCATTCGCCTATGTATGGAAACTGCGCACCCTCTCGTGATCATCGCGTGATCACGTGAGTGACCGCTCAAAATGTTGCATTCGGCGCTCGGCATTGCATTCTTGTTGTGGCTTGCTCTTGGGAGAAATAGACTTCAGAAACACAATTGGAAGAGAATTCCGACATGGCCATATGGGGGATTGCCAAAACAATTGTGACAAAACTCAAAATTGACCCATTCATGGCCAAAAGCTAGGATACTTTACCTAGCTTTTGATACTTTGTCAAAAGCTAGGATATCATCTCTTTCTGAATGGACTGATATCGTCAAAGCGTACCAAAAAAACTGCAAGCTACGCATACGCTCACTGAGGGTTCTACTGTAGTAACATGAACAGAGCCGCCGTCAGGATTTTGCTCCTTCTATTTTGTTGTTGTTCGCCAAATTTCATCTCTCTCGCTTCCGTTCGCTCGTTCGCAAAGATGAAGTGCTTGATCGTTCTGGCGCTGGTCGCCGCCGTATCGGCCAAGTCCGTACTGGAGGAGCTAAAGATCTCCGAGGAGTGGGATACCTTCAAGACCCAGTTCGAGAAGCTGTACGGTACCGAAGAAGAGGAGGTCCGCCGCTACACCATCTTCAAGGGCGAGGTAAGCCTGAGCCTGCTAGCCTTGAGAACAGACGCCGTCAGCTCATGGCAGAAACCTGAGAAATACTTGACTGCCTTGCCGTATGTATGGGTGCATGGGGGCTACTTTGCAATAAATAATTCGACTTTTTGACTATTGTTTTGGTTGCATTCGTCGTAAAAGTTTCATTCCAACTTTTAGCGCACAACAATTTGACACCACAGAATCATAGCGCTAGCGCGCTACCGGGGCAATACAGACATGAAATCTAACAAAAAAAAAACGCTTCGAAAAGTAAAATGGAAGGTCCTGAATGAACGAGATGATTTTGTCCTCCAGGCTCCACGTGTGGGATGCCCTGGAAGTCGTAAAATAACTACTTGTCCAGACCGCGATGAGACTTGCCCACACAGCCCCAGTGCAGGGCACAGACTCAACGCTGCACAAAACTTCAGTCCTGGCACTGTTGGTACACACATGCCCACATGGTGGTTTCGGCACCACGAAGGGGCAACAATTTCGAAAGTGGAGTCGAATGTGGTACATGTACATGTACATGTGTGTCCTGACTCCTGATTGACTGGGGTATTTATTATTATTATTAGGCCAAACTAAAGAAGGTGTGTGGTTCGACTCACCCGACCGACCGTACAATTTCAGCCCGACCGTAACTTTTTTTCGGCGGGCTGTCGTGTGACTGACGTACGTGGACTGAACACGTCCACGTCTACGTGCTGTGCGGCGTGAGTCTGCGGACGCAGGCGGCTCCTTTTGGACTTGACTTGTAGTTGTACTGCAGTGCAGTGCAGTGAGTGGTACGACTGCTGCCTTGTGCTGGTAGTAGAGTCTACTCGATACGCGTATACAGTGTATTTACATGTACTAAAAAATATATTAAAAAAAAAATCCGCCCGCCCGCCCGTAAAAAAAATGTCCATGTTAGTCGAACCACACACCTTCTTTAGGTTGGCCTTATTATTATTATTATTATTATTATTATTATTATTATTATTATTATTATTATTATTATTATTATTATTATTATTATTATTATTATTATTGTGGAAGAGAAAAGGACATATGGATACGAGTTAAGAGTAACTCTCCATCACTGTAACATGATACTATATACAGTCAGAAAGTGCAATAACTAGGCACAAAACTGACAGAGTACTGAAACATTCGACGTCCTGACACCTAGCTTCAACACATCTCCGTAGCGCTAACCGACAGCCTTCCAACTTGGAAGGTTCAAGGTTATGGAAAAGACCAAAGAGGGGAAGGCAAGCGCAACGAAAACGAGCAAAAGCCACAGTCGCAACGGAACAAAGAATGTCGATTGTTACTGGACGATGACGAGACCAGTACGATATTTGACAAAGCGGTCTAACTACAATTCGTAGCAGCAAAGCAGCACACCACCCAACTTGGGTGGGTCATAAATATCAAAGATAAGTAAAGAAGGGGAAGCTTTGCGAAAACGAATTGTACAAGCCGAAAGCCAAACTCCTACAGTACTCCTCATGCATGTGCTGCTTTGCTGCTTCGAATTGTAGTTAGACCGCTTTGTCAAATATCGTACTGGTCTCGTCATCGTCCAGTAACAATCGACATTCTTTGTTCCGTTGCGACTGTGGCTTTTGCTCGTTTTCGTTGCGCTTGCCTTCCCCTCTTTGGTCTTTTCCATAACCTTGAACCTTCCAAGTTGGAAGGCTGTCGGTTAGCGCTACGGAGATGTGTTGAAGCTAGGTGTCAGGACGTCGAATGTTTCAGTACTCTGTCAGTTTTGTGCCTAGTTATTGCACTTTCTGACTGTATATAGTATCATGTTACAGTGATGGAGAGTTACTCTTAACTCGTATCCATATGTCCTTTTCTCTTCCACATTTATTTATGGCTCAACATCCGAGTTTCAAATTGCACACCTGATGAGCCGTCACGAACCATACGGCGAAACGTACGTCGTGTGAAACAACTTGTTTTGTAGTCAACTAGTCCATCACAATGTCATGCATGAGGAGTACTGTAGGAGTTTGGCTTTCGGCTTGTACAATTCGTTTTCGCAAAGCTTCCCCTTCTTTACTTATCTTTGATATTTATGACCCACCCAAGTTGGGTGGTGTGCTGCTTTGCTGCTTCGAATTGTAGTTAGACCGCTTTGTCAAACATCGTACTGGTCTCGTCATCGTCCAGTAACAATCGACATTCTTTGTTCCGTTGCGACTGTGGCTTTTGCTCGTTTTCGTTGCGCTTGCCTTCCCCTCTTTGGTCTTTTCCATAACCTTGAACCTTCCAAGTTGGAAGGCTGTCGGTTAGCGCTACGGAGATGTGTTGAAGCTAGGTGTCAGGACGTCGAATGTTTCAGTACTCTGTCAGTTTTGTGCCTAGTTATTGCACTTTCTGACTGTATATAGTATCATGTTACAGTGATGGAGAGTTACTCTTAACTCGTATCCATATGTCCTTTTCTCTTCCACATTTATTTATGGCTCAACATCCGAGTTTCAAATTGCACACCTGATGAGCCGTCACGAACCATACGGCGAAACGTACGTCGTGTGAAACAACTTGTTTTGTAGTCAACTAGTCCATCACAATGTCATGCATGAGGAGTACTGTAGGAGTTTGGCTTTCGGCTTGTACAATTCGTTTTCGCAAAGCTTCCCCTTCTTTACTTATCTTTGATATTTATGACCCACCCAAGTTGGGTGGTGTGCTGCTTTGCTGCTTCGAATTGTAGTTAGACCGCTTTGTCAAATATCGTACTGGTCTCGTCATCGTCCAGTAACAATCGACATTCTTTGTTCCGCTGCGACTGTGGCTTTTGCTCGTTTTCGTTGCGCTTGCCTTCCCCTCTTTGGTCTTTTCCATAACCTTGAACCTTCCAAGTTGGAAGGCTGTCGGTTAGCGCTACGGAGATGTGTTGAAGCTAGGTGTCAGGACGTCGAATGTTTCAGTACTCTGTCAGTTTTGTGCCTAGTTATTGCACTTTCTGACTGTATATAGTATCATATTACAGTGATGGAGAGTTACTCTTAACTCGTATCCATATGTCCTTTTCTCTTCCACATTTATTTATGGCTCAACATCCGAGTTTCAAATTATTATTATTATTATTATTATTATTATTGGATGACGACTACACCATAGCTCAGTGGTTAGAGCATCGCTGGCTACAAGCGAGGGTCCCTGGTTCGAGTCCTGGTGGTGACAGTCGATTTTTTCTTCAGACTTTTCCCGTTTGTCTCTTTCCCTCAAAACCAGTTAATATTTTATGACTTGGGGCTCCCCGCGTGCTAGTTTGTACGTGAAGTGTGTGGGTACTAGAGGGCTGCGTCCCACCCGCCTGTGTGGATTCACAGGAAGTGTGAGTTACTAAGTCTGAAGAAAATGTTGAACGGTCTCTGCTTGGATGACGACTACACCATAGCTCAGTGGTTAGAGCATCGCTGGCTACAAGCGAGGGTCCCTGGTTCGAGTCCTGGTGGTGACAGTCGATTTTTTCTTCAGACTTTTCCCGTTTGTCTCTTTCCCTCAAAACCAGTTAATATTTTATGACTTGGGGCTCCCCGCGTGCTAGTTTGTACGTGAAGTGTGTGGGTACTAGAGGGCTGCGTCCCACCCGCCTGTGTGGATTCACAGGAAGTGTGAGTTACTAAGTCTGAAGAAAATGTTGAACGGTCTCTGCTTGGATGACGACTACACCATAGCTCAGTGGTTAGAGCATCGCTGGCTACAAGCGAGGGTCCCTGGTTCGAGTCCTGGTGGTGACAGTCGATTTTTTCTTCAGACTTTTCCCGTTTGTCTCTTTCCCTCAAAACCAGTTAATATTTTATGACTTGGGGCTCCCCGCGTGCTAGTTTGTACGTGAAGTGTGTGGGTACTAGAGGGCTGCGTCCCACCCGCCTGTGTGGATTCACAGGAAGTGTGAGTTACTAAGTCTGAAGAAAATGTTGAACGGTCTCTGCTTGGATGACGACTACACCATAGCTCAGTGGTTAGAGCATCGCTGGCTACAAGCGAGGGTCCCTGGTTCGAGTCCTGGTGGTGACAGTCGATTTTTTCTTCAGACTTTTCCCGTTTGTCTCTTTCCCTCAAAACCAGTTAATATTTTATGACTTGGGGCTCCCCGCGTGCTAGTTTGTACGTGAAGTGTGTGGGTACTAGAGGGCTGCGTCCCACCCGCCTGTGTGGATTCACAGGAAGTGTGAGTTACTAAGTCTGAAGAAAATGTTGAACGGTCTCTGCTTGGATGACGACTACACCATAGCTCAGTGGTTAGAGCATCGCTGGCTACAAGCGAGGGTCCCTGGTTCGAGTCCTGGTGGTGACAGTCGATTTTTTCTTCAGACTTTTCCCGTTTGTCTCTTTCCCTCAAAACCAGTTAATATTATTATTATTATTATTATTATTATTATTATTATTCAAACAGTAGTTTGGAGGCGGTGGGAAAAACAGTTTCGTAATACGTATTCGCATGCAACGACGCAAATCCACACAATTCAGTAGACACTTTTTCTATCAAACGTTTTCTTTCCCTTCTCTTCAGGATAGTACAGGGAATGTTGGAAATTAGAAAAACACATAACTATATAAAGAATGAAAGAAAGAAAAGTCAACACTTCAACATAGGTGTTAATAATGATTAAAGTGTTAAAAACTCAAAAACAAACAGCTGCAAGTTGTAGACAAACACGTTGAACACATCAGGGAACACTTGTCACACTTTCACGAGGTGTGACACCAAACAACTGCAACGATAACGCATTCTCCTTCTGTACACATAGTTCTGGATCTAGTTTACGAATATGCAGAGCTTCTAACACAGCAAGATGTAACTTAGACCTTCCACGAGTCAAAATCGAAAAGATATCATCACTATACAACTTACGACAACTAGCACTGCCCGGCAAATGACGCTTGATGGACAATGTCCGATCACTTAGCTCTGTCACCTTCGACGCCTGCCGTTGTTCTCTTCCGTTAGGGTTGTTTGGTTGGTTGCTCCGGTCCACACCTCC